CCGGCTTCCGTAGCGTCGTGAGCGCGCATGTCTCGGTCACCATAGACCTCCATTATTTGAATGTCAGCAGACAGCAAGAAGCCTCCCAGATCTCCAGATGCATTTGAGATATCAAAAAAGTACTCCAGAGTGTTGTTCAGCATGGGGGTGAGTAAAAAAATGAAGGCTAATCATGTTTTGGGTGTACTATTCCTTTAACTTTGGGTATAAAATCATTATTGTCATTTTCTAGACTATGGATTAGGATTACAGATATAAAAAAAATGAAAGGTCCACTTTAGAAAGAAAACAAAAAAAAGGCTTTTGAATTCTGACTTTTGATCTTAGAATAAAATAGGAATCAGACAAAACTTAGAAATCAAATTTCTTTGGACTCTTATTGTCAAAGCCTGGGATTATCACTTTGATAAAGTACGAAAATTACAAGTGATCATAATTTTATTTAAGTCATTCGAGAATAAATAGAATTCCATAGCATTTTTTGTTTTATTGAGTGGACTTACCAATGGTCCTAATCGTCTTCTGTACGCTCCGCATCAATTATGCTGTGCACCAATACATTTCTACTGATTGTGGTGATCCTAGAAGAGGAGAAATGCAACAAAACTGTTAAACATAAAACTTGCATGCTAAGTGGATATCATAATCTTGTTCCCGAGAAATTAGTTTGTTTAAATCAATACTATAAATGATGTAATATTACAGAAAGAGGTGCGCTTGAATTCCAGTTTCACCTGCTAGGTGACATCTTTACATTGAGTAAAGAATTATTACATTTTGTTGCTCAGCTTTGGTTTTCTTTCTCTTTTATTCCTGGGCAGATATGGAGAGGCGAGACTTGTCCCACAAAGAGAAGCTCTATCTCCGCGAGCAAAACGTCATCACAGAGACACAATGCACTCTGGGTAATAATCACAGCTCTAACTAATGATTTCAAAAGTAATTCTAGCATTTGGTAACACAGGAGTTTGTGATGACTTCAGGTCTAACAGCGCTGCGAAGTGATGAAGTCATAGATCTGATGATTAAGGAGTATCCTGCCAAACATGCTGAGTATTCTGTCATTCTGCAAGAGAGGGAGCGCCAGAGAATAGCAAAAGAGTACTCGGTGGGTACAAACAACAGAAATGTGCTCTCTGGAGTTAAATTTTTAGAGAATCCCATATGGATTTGATTTCTTTTCTCTGCAGCAAATGCAGCAGCAGAACCCTCAGAAGGTTGAGGCCAGCAAGGTCCCTGAGTACATAAAGGAAGCAGCAAAAAAAGCTGCAGAGTTCAACAGCAACTTCAATAGAGAGCGGATGGAAGAGAGGAGGGCTTACTTTGACCTGCAGACACATGTAAGTCCAGTCTTAAATGTTCACAATGATGACCTTATTAATCCCTGTTTAATAGGATAAAAGTTCAAATAAAACAGGTTTGTTCACTTAAAACTGCAGAAGTCTCTAAAATTATTGGTGTTGAAGCGTAAAGAAGGTGAAATTCAAAAAATATTCTGTGAACCTTTAGTTCAGTTATGAAGCAACACGCAAGACTTTGTCTAAGGATTCTTTCCTGACCGTGCGTTTTAACTATCCCAGGTCATCCAGGTGCCGCAGGGCAGATTCAAGGTGCTAGCACCAGAGCTGACCAAAACTGGGCCTTACCCAGTAGCTCTCATACCAGGACAGTTCCAAGATTACTATAAAAGGTAACTGTACCTTCACGGTAAAAACTGACCCTCCAGCTCTCTTCATATTTTCGTCCATTATGTATCATTCTTTTCTACATGTCAGGTACTCACCCAACGAGCTGCGCTATTTACCGTTAAACACTGCCCTTTTTGAACCTCCGTTGGATCCGGAGCTCCCTGGCCTAGATTCAGAGCCTGACTCAGATGATGCAGAGGATGGCAAGGACAACAAAAAGAACAAGAACTTATCCGTAAGACTGTAGCTTTTGGATAGAAATGTATGATCTCTGCCTGATATGTTTCAGAGAACAAGGAGAAGCAGAAGTCAAAAGTTTCTCTCCAGAAATGATTACTTTCGTTCTGTTTTCTTAAATACGTTAATATCTTTGATTCTTAGGACAGCTCTTCAGGGAACGCATCAGACATAGAGAGCCAGGAGGGCGGAGGAGGTCATCGCTATAAGTCCAAAGGCAAAAACAGGACATCAACGCCGGGCAAAGACCAGCGCCACTCCCACAAAACCCCTTCAGGGTACAAGGTAGAGGATAAATCCACCTGAAAACTCTTCTCCAACAACAGCAGCAGCACTTTTCTGCCCCCTCCTCCTCTTTCTACTGTTACCACCTCCTTATTCCATCCATTCCTGACACCCCTCCCTGCCTATCTTCACGTTGTGCTCCACCATCTACAGTTGGTCAGCCTTTTCCCAAGCTGGAAAATCCCGGTCTACACCGACTTACACACACAGTCACACCCCAGGGGGGCTCTGGCCTCGGTTTTTGGTTTTATGATCGTCTCATGGACCCCTCCCACACATCCCCCCAATTTTTTCTACCAAACTGTGAGCAATAAGAACTTTTTAAAGGAACAGTTCCCGTTTCTTTTTCACCGCACTTTCACTTTTTTTCTTCAGTGAAGACAAATTTGAACTTTTCAGATTTTGTTTTTTTTCTTTTGATTGCCCTTAATATATATAAAAATATATATATATACCTCTTCTCTGTCCTCACTTGTCAAAAAATATTTATAAGACAAGTATGTGGATTTTTTGGCTGCTAGTTTTTCTGTTCTTGGAAAAATAACTTTGTTCTGTTATAGATATTAAAAAAAACAAAGAGACCGCATACAGATTGTGGTGGTATTATGTAGATAATATTACATTTTGTCTCTGAAGTGTGCCATACACCCCAATCCTTGATCAAATGAGACCCCGACTTATACCTATAGGCTACCTATTTATTTTCCTTAAAAATTGCATTTTAGTTTAGAATTCACACTTGATAAATATTTAATTTTTTAAGAATGAGCTTAATTCAAACCATAGCTTCAGAAATGCTTTTACTCGTGCAATGCATTTTGGGTTGCTAATGACAAAAAATGTCCATTTAACAGTTACTGATTCAGAGTTGTTTATTTATTTGCTGGTAAAGGTATGATTTTCTGAAGGTGCTACAATAGGTGGTGGATTTCTGTTGAGAAACTGTGAGAATATCTAGATGACACTAGAAGAAAAAAACGGATTCAGGAAAAGGTTAATGTTGCCACATCATCCCTAAAGAAACAGAAAAGAGCTCACTTGTTTTGTTTAAGTGTTAAAGGAATTGGTTACAGTTCTTTCAGCTATCCTCTACTGGTTTAGTTGATTAATAGTAATTTGTTTAGGGATGCATAATTATGTTGGCAAAAATATTTAAATATCACCAATATATAAGGCACTGTTTAATATTAGCATATGGGATATCGGCCAAAATTTCAATATCATGCATTCCTAAACATGTCGGTTCCTGATTTTGTCGAGTGGGATTTTAATAATATAACCACTGTACTGCTGTTTCTTTAGATTTATGAAAAATTCATTAAGTTGGGTAAAGTTAAACAGTACAATGATTTTTATGCTTCATCGTCTTTGCGTAGCCATAGTAGAAGTTGCAATTAATTTGTCTCAAAAGTTGATTTTTTTTTTTAATCTGAGAGTAAGGTTGCATTGGAGTTAAGTGGATTGTCAGTAAAAGTCAGAAAATCATTGGAATATCTTTATTTTTGTGGTTCTAACTTCTAGTTGCTATGAAATAATGTGTTTCTTTTTTATGTTCTCAAACATTAAAGGAAAAAAATAGAGGTTTTACGTCACTGATTTAACCAGATACCAAACTTAATTTAAATAGTTTTACGACACACACACTAAAATACTTATCTTTACGGCTGGAAATCAACATTGAGATGTGTTCTTGTTGCATTTTTTTGGTGAAAATATGGAGCTTCTGACTTTCAAGTCTAAAACAAATGGAAAACCATTTTGTATTGAAGTCATAATTCTGACTGGGATAATCCCCTTCGTGCTCTGGATTAAACATTCTGTATGGCTGCTGCACATTTAAAAAATTTTAAAGCTGCAGAAAAAAAACACCCTATTGTCGCTGCTGTCGGTTTGTATCATTAATCAGTGGCACAAAATGTAATAATCAGCATCAGTGAACATGTTTTTTTTCCATTTTTGAAAAATTGATAGGAATACATAGTTCTGGTCGTGTTTTGCTATTCATGGCTGCCTATTTAATAGAAAAAACAGCAAATCCTACTGATTTACACTGAATAAAATGAACCCCTGTTTAGAGCTAAACTTTAAAATGGTAAAAAACATGAAACTGACAGCCATTCTCAGACACAAAAGGCTAGTTTGTTTAAAATAACATGGAAATGCTTATCTTCAACACTTAGCTGCTTATTGTTTTCAAATCTTAGTGCTTTTATTGTTTATTGTCATAAGTTTAGCTGCCCTTGCTGCTCCTAACCCACAATGTCCATCAACAATCTGTAGTTTCTGACTGAATAGCTAAATGCTGGTAGCAATAGTTAATGCAATATACAGAGATTTTTCTCTCTTATTACACACAGTTCAGAATCGGCTCTAGCACTACCTCCAATTTAGCATTCAAACTACTTCTTTGGCAGTTTGTTGCAGCTGATCACTTTAAAAATTGAGTGTTTATCCACTGCAAGCCATAAAACGACTTCATCATTTTGACTTAAACGTAGCTCGTCCATGAATGTTTCCTCAAACGGCCAGCCTCCAGTGTCCACTCCTAAAGGTTAACCTTGAAAAGCGGATGACAGACAGAGGAGCTCATGTTTAAAGGTTGCTGTTGTACAGCCAGCACATGCTAAGCTCCCGTCTTGTTTCTTCAGTTGTCTTCTTTTTTTGTGGCCCATCGATTCCCCATAGGGTCCAGTAACCAAGAATCATTTTCTGCTTGGACCACTCATGATGCATTACCAAAAAACAGCAACAATGAATAGGAAATGTTTCTCTTGAGAAAGTGAATTAACATTTTTGCATCTTTGTAGCTACCGGTATTTCCCAAATTAATCTAATAAGCTATTAAAGTCTTACTAGGCAGGGTTCTATTTGATGGTGTTTTAGCGACAAAGCATACTTTGTATACAGACTGTTAATAAATGAATAATTGTCAGACAGCTCATTGTTAAGGGCGTAATACCTGACCCTGCTTAAAGAGTTTGCAGACCTGCTGTCACTGAGCTGCATCTGCTGACTGATTGAGCCAAAAATGTGCCCTGATTCCCACCCATGAATGCGTTATATTTGGCATATTAGAAGACAGAACTTGGTGAACTTATTCACTGCACGTTACAGTTTTGTAAGACCACAAGAAAGACACAAAAGAGAGAAAACATAAAAATGTAATGACAGATCAGCACTTATGTTAACATAAGATGTATATTTGATTTATGCTAAGCCCTGTAGGGTAGGAATTATTCCTCAATGGGTTTCAGTGCATCAATGTCTCTTGACCTAAAAATTATATTTCTTCTCAAATGGAAGTTACTAAAACAAGTCATGTCCTCTTGAAGGGATAAGTCTGTTTTCTAAAGGGAATTATGCACAATTATTATTTCTATATATAAAAAAATACACATATTTAGAGTTTATAAATCTAGTAGATTTGACAAAGTGAAGTATCTGAGGAAAAGTATAGCTGCAGTATGCCAGAAACATTTTGAATAAAGCTTAAAAATGTTGTTTTCACAAACATTCAGGAATGTAGAAAAGAAAAAAAAAACTACTTTTAAATTGATTTTGAAATGTGAACCTAGTAAAAACCTTGTTATACCATGACACTGGACGCTGGCCTGTCCCTGTTATTGGAAGGATATGGTTATAAAAACCCTCCAGCAGCCTTGTGTAGATGTGAAGTTCAATGTGTCTAAATGACACCATAGTATTTCCCTCAGCTGTGAGCCCAGTAGTATACAGATGTTTCTATAACTGGTAGAACTGTTCAGACTGTACCCCCCAATGCGCCCCCCGTTCGTATGCCTCTGCAGCTGCATGTTAGAGCAACATGACTATCTGAAAGCTCAGTTTTTATAGAAGCATATAGTGTTTTGAGAAAGTTGGTTTTACTTCTTATATGTGCATGATATAGACTATTTCATGTCAAATCTATTACATTTAGAATAAAAGACATTTACACTAGCTGGATGCAGTTTCATGATTGGCTCCTTTCCAGTTTTACTGCAAATGTGAGTATTTTCCCAGTTCAGTTTGGGTCAGACAGAAATGACTCTGAGCAGTGTTATTTATTTTCATGTTCATCAAGGATTTGTTCATCATTATTCTCTGGATTATAAAAACCTGCTCCTCTGTTTGAAGAGTTTAGCCATTCATTCTAATCTGTTCATCTTTTGTTTAGGGACATTTTATGACTGATGCCACTTAGCATGCTCAAACAATTGCAAACATTTTTAAAACATTGAACATTTCTGCTTCTGTTCTTTTTAAACTGAAAAAAAAATCATGTTTGGATTTTCTATGGTAGACCAACAGATTTAATGAATACTCTGAATGCAAATTCAGAGAATTAAGCTCCGTGTTATATTTCAATATGCCCTATTGGTTTCGTACAGGGATGCCACCTCACAGATATCCATGACTATGTCTGTGATTTAAAATATTTTTAAGGGAGTGGATCCAGATGTGAAAGGGCTGTGAGTTTAAGCTCTGAAAGGGTCATGTAGCTGAACTACCTGGTAGAATTGTTACAGGAGCCCCCATAGTTTTGGTTGTTACTATAATTCGAAGTGATGCCAAAAATAATGATAAATAGTCTCTGTTGGATTTTCTTGCCCTAAAAGTAGCAATAATTGATCTCTAAATCGTTGAGTTATTCAATGATTTTTTATTGTCTAAGATAACTAAAAGCTGGGATTTAGCTAAGATAGTTAAAAACTATATATTTTGGTTTAAATCAAGCTGTGCTATCTTTGACATCCCTTTAGATGTTTTTCAGCAGCATTCACTAACTCTGCAAACGATTCAATTAAAAATGGAACATCAACATGCAGCTTAAAAAGTGCACTTTATTTCTAATTTTAAACATAGGAAGACACATTGCTGTTGATTTTAGAAAGTCTGTTGCTTAGCTCTTTCTTCAATCAAAAATACTTTATTATCAATTAATGATGTGTATAGTAGATTTTATTTAAAGTTGGAAGCTTCTGGTCAATTTTAAGAAATGCTAAATATCTTGCTTTAATCTCTTAGTTGTCTTTCAGAATTAGGCATCAAAGTTTTTATAAATGCATGTGCAGCATTTCTGACAGATCTCAACAACTTAAAAAAACAAGATAATTTCTCATTTATGAGTGTGAATATACGGCTAACTATTAATTTTTCTCTTAAACGGGTGAACTTTATGTTATTTACCTCGAAATGTATGAACATCTGATGTTATTGGTTAAATATTCTGACTTGTGTGTTCTACAAAACTTCCAACTGAAAAATTTAATCTAGCTTCAACAGAAGGTGACTCTTTAATATTTTTTTCCACTCCACTGCTTTATATCCATGACTGCAAGATTCAAATCGTTGATTGGTTTTTATAGCATTATTCTGCCCTTGCAGCCTAAGGTCATTCCAAATGCTATGTGTGGCATTTGCCAGAAGGGTAAAGAGGCCAACAAGAGAGGCAAGCCAGAGGCTCTCATTCACTGCTCCCAGTGTGATAACAGCGGTGAGTCTTCAGCTGGAACATTTCCTGTTTTTTTTTGTTGGAATTTTGTTTTGATTGTTGGAAATGCATCACTGTTATACGTATTTTTTAAATTTTATTTTATACAAAATGCATTTAAATGTACACTCTATACATTTTAATCAGTAAACCATACATTGTTTGAGGACATTTTCAAAATTATTCACACAATATTAAAAATTCATCTACAGCATATGTAATTAAATATACAAGCCCTGTTCACATTTTTCCTTTTTTTTGTTTCTCTGTGTTTGTTTTTTCTTCCCATTGTCCCGTCTGTGTGCGCGTCTGTCCCTGGGCTCTTTTGGTCCTGCATACATGTCCGTTTGTCCATAAACTACAGGCCATCCATCCTGCTTGGACATGAGCGAGGAGCTGGTGTGTGTAATCCAGACGTACCGCTGGCAGTGCATGGAGTGTAAGACCTGCACCGTGTGCCGCCAGCCGCATCACGAGGATGAGATGATGTTCTGTGACAAGTGTGACAGAGGTTACCACACGTTCTGTGTAGGCATGGATGAAATACCTACAGGTAAGGGGGAAACCATACATGCACGGTGTGGTGGTGATAGGGCGGGATGTTATGGCTAAAATTTGATATGATATGACATAATAAATCTAGCCTGACGTAGTCCTACTCAATTCTAGTCAGAATATGAGTCTGATACTGCTCCATAGAGCTGTGATTATGGGGCGTGTTTCGAATGAACCAGGAAAAAAAATGCCTCTGCACTCAATTGGATAGACCTACAACCAATAAGAGCAATGGAGTGCGTGACGTATGTTAAGCGAGGCATAGTTGTTGTCAACAAAAATCAAAGCGTGCAGTTGCACGCCTATAATAAGAAGATGAGACTTGATCGCGTTTCTCTGTTCCTCTTTTAAAATTAATTTGCTGTCGATATCTTCTAGAACAGACCTAATAGCAGAATCTACTCACCCAAACTCTCCAGCGGCAGCCATTATTGTTGTCACCCAAGCGCGCTTTGGTCACGTGGTTGATTACGTTACTGTTGATCATCTGTCCATCATCGTATAAAGCCCGCCTTGACAATTTGATTGGATCGCCAGAGGGTGGGCGATAATACTCGCGCTACTATGGAGCAGAGCCAGACCGAACTTCCCGACCTCAAACTTTGTGGGCGGGACTAAGGCACCCAGGCTATAATAAATCATCCATATAGACAAAATGCCCAAGAAAACCCACTGTAAAATATTGTATAAATGTATAACAAAATTATATTAACCAAGTTTTTTTTTATTTCTCATATAGAATATTGTACAAATATTTGCCTTAAAAAACAAAAAAGAGATAAAACAGAAAATGTCACTCAGTGATGGGTGCTGTAATCATAGACTGTAATCTATATTCAGAAATGTGTTTAAAAGTCATGGCACAGTTATTGGTTGTAATTATATATTGCTATTGAAAAACTTTTCACTCTTAAGTGCTGTTGGTCATGATTTTTCTAAATAAGAGTGATTATATAAAAAGTTTCAGCTTGTAATATGTGGTGTAAAATGAAAGAGCTGTGGAAGGGTTAATATGCAACTGAGTTTGGGGTAGGAAAAAAAATGCACAAACTCTTAAACGTATACCTTGGTTAATCACTTTTAGGTTTTATTTCTCTCAGCTTTTAGGTAGAAATCTATCAGCATGGGACATCGTTGGTAATATTTGTACACTTTTACCAGGGAAAAAAGTTCCAAGTCTGTCTCAGTTTATTTGGATGCATGATTATAAATACAGTTTCTAAAATTGACCTGATTGTGATAAGATTCTTAAGTCATTTTAAATTCACCAAGGCCCAGCTTAGGTTAAAGAAAGCAGGTCCAAAATGAAATGAAATAATGAGGATTAGCACTTTGTGACTGAATAGCACAGTGTAATGTTGGCTGTCTTCTTTTTTATGTTGTTTTCTCTTCTATTAATGTTAAATGATTCATCCCGTCTCACCAGGTCTTTGGGTCTGTGAAGTTTGTGACAAAGACTTCACAACGCCCAAAAAGAAAGGAGTAAAAACCCAGAGGAGGCCCAAGTCGGCTCAAAAATGACCAACATAGCAACTGATTTCATTTTATTAGAAATAGATTGCTGTTGATTCTGCAAAAAATGTTTTTTTTTTTTGTTTTGTTTTTTTAATAAAGCTTTGTTTGAACATTGCATTTTTTAAATGCTGTTTTCAGTTAAGAAAAGCTAAAACAAGAAAAAAAAAATCAGTCAACCGAACACCAGCATTTCAAATACACTGAAAGAAAATATAAATGCAAAACTTCAAAATGTTGAACCCAAATATCTTAACTTTTCCGGCGTACACAAAAGGTTCTGTTTAATCTTCCTAAATCTCAGTTAGTTCGCACTTCTCATACAAGCAGGGAATCAATGCATCTTTCAGATGTAGGTCATCAGGATACTTATAGGAGCATAGTTGTTGTCAGGTGTGACTAAGACTGGACAGTAAAATGCCACAATGTGCAGCTCCCTCACACAGCAAAATATCATAGATTCAATTCAATTCAGTTTTTTTATATAGAGCCAATTCACAACACAAGTCATCTCAAGGCACTTCACAGTTCAACCAGATCATACAGTCAAATTTATTCCAAGTTTTCTATCTAAGGAAAACCAGTTGATTGGATCGACTCATTGACTCAAATACAATCCCTCACACTAAGCATGCTTGTAGCAACAGTGGAGAGGAAAAACTCCCTTTTAACAGGAAGGAATAGATGTGGTAGGTTTTAGTGGATTTTGACTTGCAGGAATTTAATCTTTACTTTCCCACCAAATGCTATCTCAAAGGCATTTCACAACACTTTATACCTGCTTGCCAACTGAAGCCCACATGTAGTACCAGCACCTGCCCTGGAACCACCATATCTAGCATTTCTACCTCCAGAATCATCTAACACCAGCCGTTCCAATGGCTGCTGCAACAATCAGTTCACAAAACTGCATTTCTGTACAGACTGTCTGCGTGAGACTCATTTGCATACTAGCTTTAATCAACAGTGTCCTGACCCAATCAAGCATGCCCAAAATCAGTCATTGAGTGCTGCTGGTCTGCAAGTTTTAGAGGTTTCTCTGCTTTAGCAGAATTGATTCTGATGATTGCAGTTCAGGGCATTACAACCAATTTCAGAGGGCTATTGCTGACATTGATGGCCTCTGGCATTGTGGAAGGGTGTTCTCTTATGAATATAAGATTTTGGGGTCATGTGTGGATGAAAAGTTTAACAATCTGTAAAATATTTACAACATGGATGACAACGCTCAAGCAGTTTTAATAAAAGGCCCTTTGTTGGGCCTTCACTTGTTGTTGTACAAAGATGATGTATGACCCCATGTTGTAAAAACTGTTATACAGCTGAGAGGAATGGGAACAACATACAAGCAAGGGACCTAAGGTTCTAAGGGATGACAGAGTGATGTGCTTTGAATGGTCAGTATGAGGGGGAAAAAGTGCTGTATTTACCTGCACATTTTAGAGTGTCCTTTTATTCTAGGCAGCATAATGCACACCTTTGCAATAATTAGGCTGTCCAATCAGCATATTGATAAGCAATACCTGGGAAGTAGATTAATGATCTCTTTGAAGGAGAAAGGAACAGATAGATAGGTTTGTGAACAATATTTCAGAGAACTATAGTGTAGAAAAATTCTTAGCATCCAGGAATTTGGTTCTACTTATGTGAAATAGGAGCAACAACAAAAGTTTTGACGTTTATACTTTTGTTCAGAGTGTCTAAACTGCTGTTTGTTATAGACTGATGCCTCAGAGGAACTTGTAACTGTGTACGAATCATTTCATTTATTTTTGCGACTAACAGAATAAATGATCTGCTGCTTCAGGAAACTAACATCTTCTCGTTACGTCTTTGCCGTTATACACTGATCTGAGGAATAGTTTCAGGTAAACATATTGTGCTTCTGGTCCTGTGCAGCTGAAATAGTAAAGATTATTTTATGTCTTATTACCTTAAATGTCCATTTTTAACGATGCCTTGTCTCACAAAGAGCTATAGGTCAATATTTTTTAAATAAGTGGTGCTTTTTTTTTTTTACTTAACCTGTGACAGATATTTGCCAGTGAAGTAATGAATTTTTTTAAGTGCGTTTTAGAATGGAATTTCTCCAGTGCTCACTGTTTGGAAAATCATGGGATGCAATTGTAACCACTTGTGATTACACTGAATGTAATTACACTAAGATGTGTAAGTCAGTTTACATCGACTTATTTTTTACAATCAACCTAAATTTTGTGTTTTGAATTTTAATGGTTGAATTGTATTTTGTTTGTTTGTTTTATATTGTCTTATGATTGGGTTATTCATTATTTTTTTTATCTGATGTCATAGTTAATCAGTTGAATTTGTTTAAAAAAAAAAATAAAAGCCATTTTTAACAGCTCGTTTGTCCCTTTTCTTGTTTGTTCGATGTTGTACACCTGCTTGTCTTTTTTTGTGTGTTAATTGTAGTGTTTTAAGACAGCACAGCCTCTGCATTCTCTTCTACCTGTATAGTTGTAAGTTCAAATATCAAATGTTTTCTTTTATTTCTTTTTGCGCTATACCATATAAGATTATTGGTAAAGTTCTTCTGAATATTCAGACACCATGTGTGGTAGAAATGTGTTTAAAAGGAACATAGCCTTACAATATGATAACTAAACTTAGCCACCAGAAGCTCGTATTATTAAATAATTGTTTTTGGTAAAATAAAAAATCTTGTTTCTGAAATAAATAATAAATTAGCATTTTTTTTTATTTATTTTTTTTTACCAAGTCATAACACCTTGAGAGTTTCTTGGAGACCTTAAATAACTATTTTTTTTATAACCGATGTTTTATATTCCTCTTCTATATTTTCATATTCTGTATTTTTATATTATGGATATCAAATAAAAACGATATACATCTATGTATATGTTTAAACTCATCTGCAATGTTTTTTTTTTTTTAAGTTTAATCCCCACGTAGGTATTCAACTTTTTTCCGGATTCCATGGAATAGAGCGTTAAGAGACTGTTCTGTTTGTAGGCTGTAGAAGACTAGTCACAGGCTATCTGATGTCCAAAAAAAAGGAACATCTTTTGTGCTTTAGTTTTTTTTTTCTTTTTGTTGCAATTGTGAAAAAAAATATGTTGTAGTGTGCTCATTAGGTGACATTATCATAATTAACTGTTTAACTTATAATATGAGTTATGTTGCCCAGGTTTTGGGAACCACTTTCCTGAAGCATGCTCATGGCCAGCAGCAATAAGATTACATGGAATCTTGTTTTTGTTTTGCTTTTAGCGTCATTTTTATGTTTGTAGTTGGCAGTTAATCTTTAATGCAATTCATTGCAAAGTAAAAAGTCTTGAACCTATTCATGGAAACGTCATCTGCACTGCTTTAGTACTGCTACAAAAGGAGCTGCAAAAATGTATTATTTGTATTACGTCAATCAGAAGGAAGTTTTTAATATACAGTTATTCTAGTTGAATAAGAAGAGCAGGATGGGTAATTTTTTATTTTTTTAAAGTGGCTACATTCACATGCCATCATTGCTTTGAATTAATAGAGGTAGGATCTTGTACTTTGATCAACTACACTGAAAAAAATTTTTTGCACAGCTTATGGATCTATTTGTCCATATCTTGTCTAAAGATACTTAAATAGATCCAACAGACATCCAAGTTTCTTTCAGTGCATCAATCCAATCAGCAAAAGGCTAAGATATAGTTTCTATCTTAACAGTGAGGTAGATGGATTATGATGTTAATCTCCAGACCCTAAATGGAAAAAAGGTAAATTGCTGTGTTCTAAAAACATCCTGCTTAAGCAACTATGATAAACACATTTTTGGGGCTAAATTGAATTGGGCTATGAGACAAAATTCATAATTAGGTAGTGGTTAAAAGGGGCTTTATGACAAGAAAGATCCACAGCTCTCCTGATAGTTTCTGTTGGGGCTTTTTATGCATCTGTTTTAGACCAGGTTGGTGTAGTTTGGGAAATCACCAAATAGGTTATCAATTTTGGATTTTTTTAATTTTCTTTTCCCATTATTTATGTACAACGAGCAAAGGAAAGTGTCTTGTTCTGTATGGGGCAGCAGAAAGAGTTTTACATTGTATGCTTTGTACAGTTGATGTAGTTCTCTATAAAACTTTATTTACAATTTAGAAAACGTTTGAGTTAAGTTGTACCATACCATAAAACATCTGTAAACCTTATTTAACCACGATAATTCAGTAAAGTGAGTCAAAATCATATATTAATTCTAATGCACACGCTACCTCGATCAGCCCCTAGGGGCGCTGTCGTGCGGTCTCAACCAGTGCTGTTAGTAGAGGAAGAGGCTTCCATACTGGCTGCAGTGATACAGCGAGTTTAGCCGGGGAAAGACAAGCCGTTGTTCTGTTCTTTACTTCTAAGATGCTTTCAGCTCAAAATTTTGGAGGTCCTGGGAAGATGAAGGAGTACCATTATACCGGCGCAGTAGAGAACCGATTTTCACCTTACGCTTTCAATGGAGGGTCAGTGGAAACTTCCTTTTAATGTCAGATTAGCCTCGAAGCTAGCTAATGCTCACACTGTTTATGCTATCTGGCTACTTTTAGCAAACCAACTATTTATTTAGAAAATCAGTGTTTTTTTTTTAAGTCTCAAATAAACGACACATTTGTGATGTTACATAACTTATTCATGTGTTTTAATATCAAATTTAAGTCGTTGTGTTATTTGAGAGGGTAGACGCGTCACTTTCAGTTTCGCACCAGCTCTTTCTGTACCCCATATCTGCGATGTTACTTTGTGTTCATTTATTCATGTTTTGTGAGATAATAGAGCTAACTACTGTTTCATCTTTCTAGAACTGTACTAGCTGTTGCTGGAGAAGATTTTGCCATCGTAGCGTCAGACACCAGGCTTAGTGAAGGCTACTCCATCCACAGCCGGGACTCTCCCAAATGCTACAAGCTGTAAGTGTTATTTCTCTGTGGGGATGGTAGCAACACTGACTAGCATACAGTTGATATGTTTTGAGGCTCATTAGACCCTGTAAGCAACTTTCAGCCAAGACAAGAAAGAAGTTAAATTAAATCACACAACATGTAGTTTTGCATGTTCTCATGCTGCCATTACTATGGGGATGTTTTCTGTTAAAGGTCCATTAACGAGTTATAAATGTTATGATAAAGAGCTTTTAGAGCCCATAGCAGTTTGTCTTTTTGTACAGATTGTAACAGCAAATCAGTGCAGTAGGTTACCAAAACTACTTATATAGAAAAATAAACAAAACGTAAGACAAATGAGAAGTATACTTAACACAACAAACGCAATACAAACGCCTGCCTTTATTTATATAATCATTATGATATAAATGTGCATCATTAAACAGTAAGGTCATTATTTTGTGCTGTAAATAAAGGTAAGTATAAGGTTAGAATGGTAGGTAAGGTATGGTTCAGTATAATACTCCCACACTTTGGTAATATTGGGAAAACGGCTCGTAGTTTCAGGATATTTCCTAAAACAATTAATCAAAAATGTGAATCAGTTCTAATTACTTTTTCCTTTTACAGAAAGTGAGGTTTTATTGTTAAAAAAGCAACTAAACAGCTACAGTTTTTTTTTTTTTAAACCTATACCCTTAATGAGGGTATAGGTTTAAAATGGGTGATGCTTCTGTAGTTTCCATATCTTTTGAGGATGGTGGTGTTTCCCCCACATTTTTATTGTAGTTGTGCAGCAAAAGGTGGTCAAGGAAAGCTCTGCTATTATGCTCTGACTTGGTAGATAAGTATTTGAATCCTCTGGTATTTCATTAAAATGACTTGGAAATGTATAGGTGGTATAACAGTTTATCTTCAAACAAAGCATGGATACCAATCTTAGTACCCATACTTCAAAGCTCAATTAAACTCTGGTATGGGTTTATGTGGTATTTTTAAGTGCAGTGTTTGGAAAAATCTGGATAGAAAAAGAAATTGTAAACCAAGTCTGGGCCATTTGGACTCTTCCATTTGCTCTCCTGGTGTTCTAAAATTAAGACAGTGTTTTATTTTTGCTACTTGCTGATTCACGGAAGCACTGACCCTCAGCAAGATGTTTCACTTTTAAAGATTTAAAGAAAATATATATATTTTTTGTGGTTGAAGGTTAATAACAGATAAATCAATTATGTGACAGTCAGGCTTATATTGCATTTTTTCTTCTTCCCTAAAGGACAGACACAACTGTCATTGGTTGCAGTGGTTTCCATGGTGACTGCCTCACTTTGACAAAAATCATTGATGCCAGGCTAAAGGTAAACTGCTTTCTGTTTAACTATGTTTTTAAATTACGCTGCTTCATTATAATTTCCTTTAGTAGTAGTTTTCAATAGGTTCTATAAAGAATATTGATACATTTTGTAATTAAAAAGTTATTAATATGACCAATTCTTTCATACATTAAAGGGGGAAAAAAAGACTAATGATTTATTTGTTTTGTAGTTCTAAAGTCTATTTTTTTTCTCTCAGGTGTTAGGTTTTTGTTACTTAAACCATTTAAAAGAATTGTTTTCTTCCTATCAGATGTACAAACATTCAAACAACAAAACCATGACCAGTGGAGCCATCGCAGCCATGTTGTCCACCATCTTGTACAGCAGGAGGTTCTTCCCATACTATGTCTACAACATCATAGGAGGACTGGATGAAGAAGGTGGCTTATGTTGGAGAATAAAAGCTTTATAGCCTTAAATGCATATTACAATATACAGCTGACCTGATTGTCTGAAGAAAGTTTCAAAAGTCAGCACTTTTTGAGACACAGTCTTATCTTTATAGCAAGATTTATTTTTTCTGTCTAAAGATTAAATATGTTAACCTCCACAATCTACAGCCATATTACCACCAGCTAAGTGGCGACAGTAACCTGCAGTGGCCATTTTATTTAATTTTTTTGCCGTCAGAAGAGTTGCCACTTCATGTTTGGAAGAATATTTGTCACGCAGTTATGGTCTGAAATTATTTAGTTTGTGCATATTATACACTAGCCCTTTACAAGCTAGTGAATCTGTAATATAACATCATTATGAACTAAATGAGTTAGTATTATTTATGCTCCAAAAATGCCCTCAAGTCTTCAAGTGGATTAATACTGGAAAAGGGACCCCAAATTTACTACTGTGCCTTTTGGATGCATTATGTGTCATTGCATAGTTAATAACATATAAATTCTATTTTTAATAAGATAATAAGTAAGGCCTAAACCTTGTCTTATGTTCTTAATAGTAATGTATTTTTTTATTTTCTATGTACTCCATGGAATATGTGCAATAAAGGGAAAGGAGCCGTGTACAGCTTTGACCCTGTGGGCTCCTACCAGA